GACCGCCGCTACGGCGGTTAATTAATTAATCGATTAATGAGCAAACGCGTTGAATTACGTAAAACGCACGACGCATGATTATGGGCAGTGTGGCTGATAAAAAAGGAATATGCGTGTTCGATTGTATCGACTGATAAGTAATTGCACGAGTCATATCCGCGAAACTACGAGACGTCCACTCGATCGACAATGCCGACTGTCACATAGCACAGTGCGAAAACGAGTTTGCCGAGAAGTTTACCGCCGCTGGCTATTACCAAATACCGTTTCCATAGAGCGCTTCAGGAGCGTGACAATTCGGTGCCCCTGTTGTTATCGATTATAATGATCGTTAACGGGGGAGAAAAAGGGAAAGTAACATGCTCGATGATACCTGTGAGTGCAGCGTGTATATTTAGGATCGATAAACGCACGCGATTCACGATACCTGTGCCACGTATCGTGTCGGACGATAAGCCTTTAAATAATTTATGACCGAAAGAGACGATAAGCAGCTTCGAACTTCGTCCAAATCCACTTTACTTCTTTCTCTCGAGTCCGATGATTTTACGCGGTAAATTCGCTGGAAATTCGCTGATGCTCTTCGCCACCCACGATTATTTATTCAGATAATAGAAGCTCGTGTTCAAGTAGGTAGGATTCAATGGGCTGAAGTTTATTTAATCGAGCACTAACTAAAATTTCGTATAATTTCTGAAACCATTGACCACGAGTCTGCGACTAATCTGACCGATTATAATTATCGCGAGAGGGGCGGCGGTATCTCTTAAAATTTTGGAGTATTTGAAAATAATTTTAAAGAAATGTTTAGTATCTCTTCTTTGCATCGAGTGGCGGTGAAATACTCGACACATTTGTTTATTCTACGTACATATGCACACAGATATATAATAGTGAAATGTTATCTCACCATTGCTATACTAAATCACTTTCTGAAACGAGCTACTGACATTATACAATGTGTTCAGCGAAACGATATGCACGATTTTCGAAACACTTGCGATAACGTAATAAAAGAATATTTCGAACAAAGGTTCGTCCGTTTCGAAAATTTCAGCTACGAATTGCAATACTTAAAATCGTCAAGAAGTACTTTTTTCTGTTAAATGTTAACGTCACCTTGACTTTATCGAATGGCACGATGCTTTCTCGATTTCGTAGTATCGTAGCCGCTATCAAGACGAATTCAACGACCTACAATACTATGAACTTCAAAAGACCTTGAGCTCAGAAATCCTGAATTCATCATTTACGATGGGAAGATTAACGTGTGAAATTTGGTTTAATAGGGCGTTATTAGATCGTACGTCTATAATAACATTCGTGACGTTAACCAATTGCAACAGAAAAAATTAGCAAAGTGCGATGTTGGTGCGACTACGTCTCAATGGGTGTCGTTTCTTAATGCTTCAATTTACGATCGTGCTATATCATTTCCACTCAATGAGAAATATTCTCGCAAGTGGACACTTGGATATTCCGTTGGGAGTGACTATCCGACTATCTGATGTAATAGCCAACTCGGATAGTCGCTTTCAACGCAATGTCCGAGTGTCCACTTGCGAGAAATACTATCAAATACTCGACACTAGAGAACGTTCGCTCCTCAAAGTCGGCTCCGACAACTATCAGCATCAACTGTCACTCGACGAAACAAAATCTTGGTCCGTTAACGTTGTTTCGCCTTTATCGTTGTTTCGTAAATCGAGCTGAAACTCAGAGTCCATGGATATATCTAAGTTTAGACAAATAAGCGATAAATAGGAAAGAGTTTCCGAGAAGTAGCGACTGCAACGAACTTGACATCTTAGGTGAAAGACTGTTCGATAATCGAAACTCTTGACCGTGCAACGTGTTGCATCGATGCACGTGTAACGGTTCCGGTTTTGTTCGGTTACCAAGCGCCGGCTTCGCGAAAGAACAAATCGCAAGAGACGACGCCTCCGGAGAGGCATGTCCAGGCGTAACACACAGGCGTGTAACATGTTCTCACGAAAGAGGTCGTCGCGCTTTGGATAGATGTTTTCGTCCGGCACGGCGGCCTTGACACTTCGGCTATGCGACGAACGATACACGACAGAAATAGCCGGTATACGAATGGAGTCGATCCGCAACGGGAGATGAAACGTAAAATCCGTTTTTGGTATATACGTCAGGCGAGTTTCGTGACAAATTTCGAGACATCGTTCGTCGCGTCCTCTTAATTTTTCGTAGCCGCGACGAAAAGATAATCCGCATGGATGCATAAACGAAGAATCGATCAGATTCCGATAACGAGATTGTTAATGCTGTTTTTTCCGAAGAAGTCAGCTTCGATGTCTCGATACGCATGCATTTGCATACGGAAGTATTGCGTAAACATAGCTGCGTAACAAGTATATGGCTCGGTACATCTCGGTACGGTTGTACCACGTGCATTTATACGAATCACTGTGCGTTGGCCTTTGGACATTCTTCCTGTAGCGTGCATGTGACCTGTGCATATTACATGTACTATACCATTCATTCATAAACGGTCTTATTGGCTGGCAGGAGGGTGTGTCAGTGACGTCACTGCCAGATCAATGCCATACACGCGGAAAAAGGAAGAGGGAAACGGCGCGCCGTAGGAAATTGGCGGGAATTTCGAACGTGCGAGTGCGCAACAAAATAGGAATTATATATATTTATATCGCAATTGGGCCAAGTTGTGCGAAAACCTACCAATCCTCGAAATGACAAAGAATTAATCACGCGCAGTACGGGTTCTATAATTTCGAGATCTACATTTTGGAAAAAATTACCAATTCATAGAACGACTGTTACATTACGCAATTATTAAAACTATCGTGCCATAGTTCCATTTTAGATTTATAATTATTTTACGGAAAGCTTGCAAATCACATGTTAATTACGCGCCATCGTACTATTAAATAAACCGTTAAAAAACAATGTAAAACAGCGACAAAGAAATAAAATATACTCGATAGGAAGGAGGCTACTTTTTTGAAAATATTGAAATCTTCGTACTAGATTTACTCGATTCCAGATCACCGAGGGGATTGATATCTTTCTACATAACATAGTCTAATTGAAATTTACATACTTGATATACGTTTTGGAGTTGAACTATTAATTTTCGAGTACATTTATCAAGTAGATACGTACATGGGCTACTTGTGTGATAAACCGGTGATTTATTGCTCTTCTAATCATGTCCGATAAATATGCGAAATTTCGTGATGCGTATCTCTCACGAATTAATGATTTGAACTGTATCATTGCTCGCGTGATTAGATGAAAGGTATACGCGATTATATCGCGCTGTAGCGAACATAATAAATTTTCCGTGAAATAACAGTCGCAGAGAATCGATTTATAGAATATGCAATAAATAATAAATTGTAGACTAATTCTTGCCCGTGTTTTACTATCTTTGCAGTGTCGGAAAGAAAAAGATATCTTCAAATTTGTAATACCTACTTGCTCGTCATAATGTACAGATCGTTGATACTTGATATTCATGTTGATATTCATTTTTTGTTAACCTTCCTTAGATTTTCGATTTATAAGTAACATGTTCCTTCTTGTTACGTAAAGTGAGTACTCGAGTGTTATGTGACGTAACAGCGTTCAATATCACTAAGATCGTCAGAATTTAACTACCTGTTAGATTCGACACCGTATTAGAATAAATTGCGCAAGCAAGTTTCGTACTTTTTTTTTTAGATAGTAGTATAGTATAACTTACGTAATATGATTTTCGCTCTAATCATATCTTTGATTCTATATGATTGATTTGCGACAACATAGCACTTATTATATTTCGCATTCATCGAAAATACTAAAATTCAATATTCCTCTTCTACAATTCACGATCATAAAATTTTCCATAACGATAACGTGACCATCGTTCCAGTTATTTAAAACTCATTTTCTTTACACTCGTATCGATATCGCTGTGTATTTCAATATTTTTTCTTGCTCCTGCTAACTACCTCGCAAAACATGTCGTAAGATAGCAATTTACACTGGCCTAAGAACTGTTACATTGCACTTGAACTCGACGCGATCGCACTCTAATGTATTTCTATGATCTCAAATGAATAAGCAACGATCGTGAATAGAAATCGTTGTCTCAAAACGTATTAGGAACATCAATTCTAGAATAATTTCAGCAAATATTGAATTTCACACTTGAATGTCAGCTGTAGTAATACATTCCGATAATTACAGACGTATTTCTTTCTAAATATTTGATTAAATTAATGCCGAGCAATCGGCAAATGTTGAAACACGATAGAATATTGCTAAAATCTTACAAGCTCGTATAAATAATCATATTTCTTATCGGTATATTATAATACGATGATACAATTACGATGTATGACGTATTAGCTAAACGCTTAATACTTTCACTGACTCAATGACGCCTTGTACATCTGCTAACTAAAGTGTTCATATCTACTCCATTTTCGATCGATCGTTCATGAACCATTTATGAAGCAGCGTATCATTTAATATTGGATTATATATTATATATATAATTCACCAAAGGTCCGTATGCGTGTGTATGTACATATGTATGTGCATGTATGAAGAAAGAGAGAGAGAGAGTGCACCTGCGGTGGATCAAGCGACGAATCACGTGGAAAGGCGCTTTAACGACGCCGACGTTCATCCACATTGACGTAAAATCGTCAAGGCCGATCGGAATAAGAAGAGTATGTAGTACTTACATCTATGCGCGTTTCATCTCGCTCGAGATCTCTCACGTGCGAGCTGTTTACAACGCGATTATCGAGCGTAAAATCTCTGTCAACGTGTCGTGACCCAACTATTGTAGTTCGTTGCATTTTTCCTTTCATCCGTTTTTTTCTACCGTAATTGATGAAAATCGATGACAGGTTAAGATCAGGTTGAACGAAATCGAATTTGGAGGTGTATAGTTTTAGCGAACATTTGGCACGTTCAGGATTTTAGATAGAACCCTTGCAACGAACGAGCATCTTTGATACGTGGCAGTTAGTACCGAGTTAGATTTTGTAACAGCAATTTGTACGACGATATCTCAACAGTTTTTGCTTGTTGGCTCTTCGTATATCGTAGGTTATCAATCGTAACATAATGAACGTTGATTGGTCAATTAATTAAAGAATTACTTGCTCGAATAACTTTATCTGCTGATATTAGATGTTTGAAAAATGTCGTGTTATGCAAGTCGAATGTTTATTTCCCTGTTTCTTCGCGGAAGAAATAAAATATAAATTACGTTGCTTAAAATAGATTATCATTTATCCGACTGACGTTTTCTGTTGAAAAAAATATTCAACAGACCGCGTTAATGAAAAGTTCAACATATTTTCGTCGGGAATATTAAATGACCGGTATACGTATTAAATGAATTTCAATCGTGCGATAAAATTCGAAATTACATAAATAAATTACAATTTCCGTGACAATTTCTACAAAAAACAGGGAAGTAGTAGAGATAAATTTTCAGGCCTTGGCACCGTCCAACGGACTACATTAACTATACGCTTATCTATTTCAAGAATTTGACTATTCTATATAGTGATTTAGTTCAGATATAGCGATTAGTATATGATTTAAAACTTCAAAATCTTGTCTCCGAACTGAAGAACAAAAATATTTGAATAAATTTGAGGTACGAGTTAAAAATTATAGTTACAGATATCGTAATAAATTATTATAATGAGTTGATATTACTATTATTATTATTAGAATATATATTATCCTAACGCTTATGACAAACTAACCGTAATATCTGGAAGCGAAAAAACTTTGAAAGAGAGAAAAGAATGGCGTATAAACAGCTTAGGCCAGTTATTATTTTCCTACGACCGAGTATGGCAACGTAAATCTCCGACCTATTTTTAAGATTCGAAGCACAAGGTTTACGCGAAGTTAGACGCGTCGGAAAGCTAAATTGACCAACAAGCGGAAAGAACAGAAAGAGAAATGTAATCATACGATTGGAGTCTATCTATTGATCTATATTTAAATTTCTACGCTAGAAACCTTAAACTTTGCGTAGAGTTAAACGTGTCAAGGAATCGGAGCGGAACATATGCAGAAAATTTAATAATAATATTTTAGTACTGAAAAGTGACGAACGTTAATAAGATCTTGTCTCTATATTTACAAAGCGACTCGTTTCAATCTTTAAACGCTTATATTTTGCAATCAGTTCTCGATGACACGGTCGAATGCCTAAATATTTTCTGACAGAAGTCTATTAAACAGGTACTTCATTCTCGACTCTGATCTTGTCGTTGTCAGATCGTACACTCTCGTCGATTCTCTCCTCGATATCCGTCACTCTTCCCATAATCGTGCGCGACTATTGTTCCGGCCTGTGACATCACATTTTTGTACGCCCATATGGGTGCTCGTGAAGCCATACAAAAGTGCACAGTAAATCCCAGCAGCATTCTTTCGACTAGATAGTCGCGAACGCATGCTCGTTCTTCGAAATAAATGCTACTCATAGAATGAAACAGCTTTATTCCGATTTATACGTACGACTGACGATTTGCGTTTCAAGACACGTTTAATATTCATGATACTTACGATGTTAATATCAGCCTGATACTGATAAGTACAGTGTTGTCCCACGAACTCTGTCCACCTGGAGTATTTTCGTTATTTCAAACGATGCGTGAAAATGTCATTAACGAAAGTTGAAGGATTCAGTGAAACGCATGATATGGAATTATTTAAAATAACGAAGATATTTCAGGTGGACGGGGTTCCGTAGGACACGCTGTAATAGAGAGAAAATTAGGAAAAAATAAATTCGATTTCTGGTGTTACTATGTTAAGGTGTAATTCACAATTAATATTAGAGGAAATGTTTTTTTTTTTTAACAGAGCTTCGTACGAAGAAACGTTATTTTATATCTTCGACTTATTTCGTCGCGTACAATCGCCAATTATAGGTACAGACACCCTGTATATGGAAGACCTATCGAAGGTCAGGTCGTATCAGGGACCATTGTTAGACCGAAATCGATAATCAGTTTCCATTTTCATTTATCACAGATAAGAGATATCTGCAAGGAGCTGATCCTTTCCAACGAACAGCTCCATATGGTTATGCAAAAATTGGACGATGAGATGAACAAAGGTCTATCGAAGGAAACGCACGATCAGGCGGTTGTGAAATGTTTCGCGACCTACGTCCAAGACCTTCCCGATGGCAGTGGTAAGAAGACACGTATATCTCTTATAATTGCTAAGAAACCAATTTCCCGTAACGAATCAGAATTATTCGAAAGTTGAAAAAACGAAGAAAATAGCTACTAATCCTATAGATCGGTTGTTCTGATTCGCGACGATCTAGACTTTGAAGGAAAATTATTTAAAAATTCCCGGTATCGCTGATTCTCAAGGAAAGAGGAAACTTGATATTTTTAATTGCAATACGAAGAAATATTTAGTCAAAGTCAATCGTACGAATTGAATTATTATCGATTTACAGAGAAGGGCCACTTTCTGGCCTTGGATCTGGGAGGGACGAATTTCAGGGTGCTCTTGATCACCTTGGATCACCAGAATTTCGACATGAAGAGCAAAATCTACGCCATACCACAGAGTCTCATGTTAGGGACTGGTACACAGCTCTTCGATCATATAGCTCAGTGTTTGGCGTTGTTCGTCAAGGACCTGAACCTTCACAACGAGCGTCTACCTCTTGGTTTTACGTTCAGCTTCCCATTGTCTCAACACGGGCTGACCAAAGGCTACCTAGTCAGGTGGACGAAGGGTTTTAATTGCAGCGGTGTAGTCGGCGAAGACGTGGTTGCTTTGCTCGAAAAGGCAATCGCAAAAAGAAAAGTGAGTGCTTCGTTCTACTTTAAAACAGTTGTTCAATCATCGATGACAAATATCTTTTTTTTTTTTTTTTTTTTTGTAAAATTACGTATCATTAATTCAATAAATTGATTCTATATCTTGAAACATTGCAAGTTAAAATTCTACTTTATAAAGATTCTATTTTGCAAAAACAACGAGGATAATATCTCAAACTTTGTGAGTTTATTAGTGAGAATATATAGAGTACGTATAGAAAAGCAAAGAAGTCATAGGTTCTAAATCGGTCAGTGATTTCATAACAATCGCGTTAACGAGAAACGAGAGTCGAAAACAACGATAAGAACAATTGTTGCATGAATACATAGCTAGTCGTAGCTAATTGCGAAACCATGCTAATTACGATGTATCGCACAGGACGTGAAAATCGAGGTATGCGCCATTCTGAACGACACCACTGGTACTCTGATGTCGTGTGCTTGGAAAAACAGGAATTGCCGTATCGGATTGATCGTCGGTGAGTGACGAATATTACTTTTCTTTCCATTCTTATCATTCACAAATAGGTAAAAATCTAATAATCAATCACTTCTCTCTAAATGAAGATATTGAAAATTCCTCTAATGAAAGAACACCGAAACTTGCGGACCTAATATTACCGTGCATGAATTATGAAACTTTTTCCCCATTAAGATGAAATCTCGTTTCGCTTCAGGAACTGGTACCAACGCCTGTTACGTGGAGAAGACGACGAACGTACAATGTGCGATTCCAGGAAACTTCTCGCAAGAGAAGCCGTATATGCTGATCAATATCGAATGGGGTGCGTTCGGCGAGGGTGGTGTGCTCGATTTTATTCTAACGGAGTTCGATCGAGCGATCGACGAAAATTCGATCAATCCGTCGAAACAGTTGTTTGAGAAGATGATCTCCGGCATGTACATGGGAGAATTGACGAGGTTGGTTCTCGAAAAAGTGGTGAACGCCGGGCTACTGTTTGGTGGAAAGTGCCCCAGCGATCTTAAGAAACGGGGCAAATTCTTCACGAAATACGTTTCAGAAATCGAAAAGTGAGTATCACGCAATCGTATCGGATATCTTTTCCTCGCGATAGAGATTCACCGTATCTCCTATCTCTCTTTTCGTTCATTTTTTTCACATTCCGAGTTACGACATTTTAGTATTAATTAAATTAATTTCTCTCGTTATTCCAAGCAAATCCTGAATCTGACAACGCTAATCTAGGACTGCAGGCAATTATAACGAGCCACCTTCCCAACGTTCGACGTTAAATGTTGTTCTTCGTTCGTTTCAGCGATGCTAAAGGGAAATACACGAACTGCCGCGAAGTACTAGCAGAATTAGGATTACGAAACGTAAGTGACCAGGACTGTGAAAACGTTAGGTACGTTTGCTCTGTTGTGTCGAGGAGAGCAGCTCACCTGGCCAGCGCTGGAATCGCCACGTTATTGAACAAAATGGGCGAAGACAGCGTAACAGTCGGAATCGATGGCTCGGTTTACAGATTCCATCCGTACTTCCACGAGCTTATGACCGAGAAGATAAGCCAGTTACAGAATTATAAGGTGAGACCAATGGGAACAGCTTCGTTTCTTAAAGTTTCGACGAATATGCTGTTTTAAAGAGACATGTTTTTCTTGCACGACGGTTGTGTAACAATAATTTCAATAAAATCCTATATCTTATCATTACGACGAGTATTAAAATCGATAATTGAAATTTAAATCAAGGTTTCAGTCTATTAAAAGATTCAAGAACATTTGCTTATCAACGTCTCTGCCGTATTATACAACCGTCGTTTAAGTCAAACGTATAAAATTTTATTTGGCGAAATAAAAAGCTCTGAGAAAAGAACTTGGAGATAATTTAGGCTCTAACAATTTATATTGCTTTTGCAGTTCGATTTAATGCTCTCGGAGGATGGCAGCGGTCGTGGTGCGGCGCTGGTCGCCGCAGTGGCTGCCGGACACCGGTGAAGACAACGGCTGTGCCGCGACTCCTCAAACTTAGATTAAATTAAGTTATATGCAGTAACGATTCAAATTTGACACACCATTAACATATACGTACACAGAAAATGTATGAAGTCACGCGTATGTGCCGAGGAAAAAGTCGAAGAGAGCTAGCTATTAAATAAACTAAAAATGAAAGAAAGGAAGCGAGAGAGGGAGAGATAGGTAAATAAAAGAACGAGTGAGATTCTGTCCGTTAGGAAGAATAGAGAGCAAGATCGAGAATGAATGAGTGTGAAAACGAATGAGAGCTGAATGTGCACTTGTACATAGAGCATAAAACGTAGCCTAATCTCTGCGAAAATATCGAAACAACGGTACTTGAAGGAGTACTTACAGATCGACGAGCATATTTACGCTCGTCACTACTAGACCGGAGAAGGAAACAGAACAAATTTATAACGAAGTGTTTTCACGCGAGACGTGGTTGCACACGAGCAAACTAATAAACGAAACTACGAATAATGTGCAACAGAAATCCTATTACTGCCATAAGTGCAGACAAATACGTATACGTAGACGCGGCTGGATGGAAGGAATTTGAAAGAATTTCAATCGTTCCTTCGAAGCAAAGGCTACGTGAATTTATCGGCATTACGCGTGTGCTCCTAGCTCGCGATACATCATATATCACGAAATGTCGACGAAAACGGTCGATCTCGATGTTCCTCCTTGACAGAACATGCACAAAGATGCGACTGGTTCGCGATCCTGTGGGTCAGTCTCTTCTGTTTCGCTACTGCTCCGAAATCTTTGCGGAAGAGGATGAAAAAAGGAACGGGCGGATCCTTGGTTTACATAGAGCGATTTATAAATTATTTGTATCGTCGTTTTATCCTACAGTAATCTTATTGTAACATTTAGACGCGCGTGATTGAGACGATGGTCGCGCAAGTGGAGAAAGAATGAGCGGAACGAGGGTAAAAGAAGTTATGCGTGCGTGAAAGAAGTTCGGTATGCAAAACGAGATTATATGTATATTAATATCGAGACGAAAAAGAAAAAAAGAAAAAAACAAAGAAATGAAAAGACGAAGAGATAGCGCGAGCAAATATTAGAGAAAGTGTGTTTTGCAACAGTTCATTAGAAAAAAAAATGTGTAGTATCGTTTTAAGGGATTTAGGCGGTTTGAAGTATTTTTAGATTTATAGGCCACGGTCGCGCTCAACGCGTACGTCTTCTTTGGACGTCACTCTTATTGTTACGACGACGATGATGACGATCGCCGCGTATATACGGACGATCTTTTAACATTGTCTCCGGAACGATTCTTCGAAGACGTTCCCATTGATATCGCGACTTAAATTATACAACGTACATTAAAGAGGATGACAAAAAAGGAAAGACAAAAAAATTAAAAAAGAAAAAAGAAAGAGAGAAAGGCAAATGTGTGAGTGAACGCGTATATGAACGAGCGATTGATTCTAAGTCGTGACTCTCGATACTATGTTTTCCCGCCACTCTCTCGTGTCGAGAGGCGAATATTTCTTTGGAGTTCAAAGATCGATGGAGCAGAATAATAAACGACCTGTTTTGAGAGCAAATTGACAGTTATCTCTATTATCGTTTTATTGTCGCGAAATTGTAATAAAAATAAGATACTTAGACTCATACTATTCCAGTACTTTTTCATTTCAGTCGAAAAACATCATTGTTAAAGTTGTTCGATACTCAAATTCCTTTCTCAGTACTTTTGTCCGCATATTGGATCATTTTCGTAAGTCATAAGCAATGCAGGTTTTCCTCAGTACGGTAAGAATCCGTGTAATGTACGTTTGGAAACTCGTAACTTTTATTATCCGAACTGCGATCAAAGGATTCAAGAGAAAAATGATACAATTGACGAAGTCTTTAAATTGAAGAAACGTTCGATCGCGTCACAATTTCATAAAGTCTCGCAAATTCGCAACAAAATTCTATAAATTGTAAAATTATAAGATATAATATATTTAAAAAGAAAAATGCATCGAGGAGACAGGAACACTGGATAGTGTTCGCTATAAATTGCACCCATGTTAAAGAAGAAACAGTTGCATCAAATTATGTATCAGCTTACAATGAGACAAAACGTACAAACTCGCTCGACTTCAGTTTTCTGAAAGGGAATAATTAGCGAACAAATTTGTATTACCAGAACCATTTCATTATAATTATCGCAGCTGTTTTTATTCCTGGGATAAACAAAATTTTACCATATGTATGTGTATCTAGGTATTACTCTCAATTTTTTGCAACTAGTAATTAGTCGAACTAATATGCTTTTTATTCGGCTACTAGTACAACTTTACAAAATTGGCGGTCGTAACGAATTCTATTATATCAAACTCAGGTCTCAGAAGAACCTTATGACCTGATATTGTCCTCCTTATGCCATTATATTCTCCTTATATCATTAATATCGATATCACGATTCGATAGATCATACAAATTTATAATTAAATATAAAGTAATCAGATATTTTTGAAGTCAATCGTATCGAACTGATCGTCTCGATTTATATAATTAAAAAAAAAAAAACATTCAGCCCGGTTTGAGGAACTTTATCAAAAATAGTAGAAAATTCGTACATTCGTGATTTGAACATAAGAAGCACGATACGGATCGAACAGATCCTAGCGACCTGAAGAAAGAAGAATCATCGCTCCTCTATCTTTACTCCAAAGTTTTCCTCCTATTGTTTCGTACGCGACTCGAAAACGCGATGAGGATCGCCGCGTACTTTCCGGATCTGGGCTCGATTGTCATTCGGTTCGTGTTCTCCGATTACGAAACAGTGGCGGGAAGAGAAGTGTCGGTCAAAAGCTTGGCCAGAACGAGGAATTGTTGCTATATATTCTGTATTTATTTTCGTCGTCATTTCGATAAGACTTCGCGGTGTGTACCGATAAAATTCGCGTGGACGGTGGATCTATCGACGAAGAGAGAGAGAAAGAGAATTCTTTTGTGATCGTCGTTTCACGCGAAGAAGATTCTCTCTGCTTCGTCCCGTTTCCTCGAACCGAGCCGAATCGAACGTTCGTCTCCGATCGCTTGCTGGTCTCTCGTCATCGATGTTGCGGCGACTGTTGAGACTAAAGGTGGTGAGTAGCTCTGCCGCGGTATACTTAGCGCGATCACGCGGATCCACGTGAGCGTAACGTTCGAATTAACGTGCGATGTCGACACGAGCACGAAACGTGTCGTCGCGTATTCTACCGATTATTATTGTAAGATACCATGCACACCAACGACGCTATTTCGTTGTGATTTTGTTGATAGTGACGCTGTGTGATTCCGTATCCCGTAGTTTTAGATTGTTGACGATGCATCGGAAATTGGTATCAGAGATTGTTGAAGCATCGGAAAATGGTACTAAAAAATTATTGGAATTGTGGATCGATAAAGGTGTCTCAAGAAGGATAGTACAACTATAGCCAATTGTATAACTAAATTCTATATATAAACGAGAAATAAAGTTCTTCCGTTCGAATTGTCAGCTTTAAAGAAAAATAAAGTAGTAAAGCGCCACTGGTGCGAAATTCCAACGATATTGTGTCATGCGTCTGTACAGATCTAAAGATAATTAATGTGACAGAAAAAAAGCGGCAAAGTACGAGTACAAGTGCGAGTACACGTTCGGATTCCTACAATGCGAGGAATTCTCGTGATCGAGCATCGAATTACTGTATTCTAGGCTGCGTAAGAAAAATCAGCGGCTACATGAGGCGCGCGATCTAACTGTACTGTTCATCGATTTAGATCGCGACAGCGTATTTGTAAAAGTGTCGAGTGTCCGATAAGAAATTTGGTAGGATGTTTAGCGAGAAACAAAGTTGTTTTCCTTGGTTAATCGTGAATGAATCGATCGATTCGAAGGAGCGAGTAGAATCGAAAGATCGTCGAAGACAGCGAATCGATTATATCGGCGGAGCCTGAACCGCTTTCACGATTTTTCTCACGACTTTTTTTATATTCACAAACTGGTTAATGTTGTTGAGATGTGTACACGTTAAAGGTGCAAAATAAAAGTCATCGTAAATCTTGTTGCTCACGATCGATGTGCCATTACCATGCCGCGTTTGAAAAGAGTTGAGAACATTTTGGTGCTCGATCAGTGTTTTTAATATATAAATATATTATATATACATTTAATTTATGTATTTAATAAATATAATTTAAATATTTTTTTTCAGTTTTTATTACGTTAGTATACATCTGATATATTAATATATTGATAAGACCTTTTGATAAGACTGAGTTTGCAATTCTAAGAAATACTAAAAGTTAAAAATAATAAAAGTTTCCCTCGTGGACGGAAGGGGAACAATAAAGATAAGCTGGCTATTTAGAGAGATAGAGCATTTGCAACGATAATTATTGCGCGAAGGTTTTGTAGGAAAATTTTGGAGTTTTTTAAATTGAAGTTAATTAATTTAAATTGGCACGAGATTTATTTAATTTCTTGAATGTTTGATCACGGTAAACACGAGTAAATATTCTCGATAATTAGACGTTTTATTAGCACATTTAGACAAGTATTTCAGAATCTTATCAGCGATTATATCGATCAACCTTGATTAGAAAATGAGTGATATATAATAGGAAAAATACTAAAGATAACGGAAGAACTCTGCATTCAACTCTGATATAAATTCGAGTGAATAATCCGCGAAGGGATATTAAAATATTCAGTATAATCTTCCCGTACCGAAGAAATCACAATTCAAATTTGGTTTCACTTAATTTTTCGACCTTTGCCTAATCGAAGCCTAATCGAAATGTATTTACTACATCGACATCTTCTCTGCACGCCACTAGATGGCTACGAACTACGTTTATCTTTACAAATCGATTTACTTTTTCCAGCGAAAAATCATTTAAAATATCCATATAAAATTTCTCTCAAAATAAATCTATTATTTGACGAAACTAACAAATGCAAGTCTACGCGCAATGTAATCTGTACCGTCCCCCCAATCTCTCTTCTCAATCGTCGTACCTAACTCCATAACAATATGTATATATATGATACATACATGCTTGGCGATAACAACACCACCTGGTGGTAGCTGACAGGAAACAAAACACGTCAAAGCAGCAAAGTTTCGCTGTCGCAGCGACAGTGAGGTATAGCACCGTGATACGGGAACGAACAATGAGAAATTATGCAGAAACGGGTGATTACACGAGAAACGGCCACAAGGCGCGTGCATAGCGAGAAATAATCGTGGACCAGGATCGGACGGTGCGTTAAGATGATTAGTGGCATTCAAATCGCGCTGAAGAATGCCATTGATGTGGTGAGTGATAACCCTGATAAATTCCGCAGTTTCGTCGTCGGTTCTGTTTTCGACCACGCGACTGCGTACAATGTTCTCCATTCATTCGTCCGAGAAAAAAAGACACGCACATTTTCATTTATATTTTTCCTTTGTTTGCAGAGCATTGTAAACAGTGTAAGAGAGATTTTAAGGCGGTATTCATCGATCGTAGTGCGGCATTATATGTTTTACGTAAACGACGATTTCTCTTCGTTCGACCACCGCGCGCTGTTACATGTGCCATTGTATTTATTTACGTTCTGCGTGTATCGATCTGTATGTTGTGCCTTTCGCTATAGTCGATACGCTACTGTCTACTCTTACGAATTTTTTCTTCTCGTCCTTCGTGCGCGCCCGGATCGATTTAAATCGCGCTCGTTTGGCGCCCATAAAAAAATCCAAACAAACAGAACGGTGCGGCGTAGCCAACTTTCGGCCGGCCAATACCATGCCGGTAATACGCAAAATCTACCCATCTCGATCGACACGCGTATTTGCGCGTTGTCTAATCGTTGCAAGATGTACGTCGTTATATTTAGCGGCTTATGTAATTATTTCAAGTTGCACCTACGGGCGAACCAACCGTAGCTCATTAACATGTGCACGTTTAATAATCTACCGTGTTTTGTATCCTACTTGGTTTTCCTCAACGACGACTCAAACGACGTAGTACGATTCCTGGTCGACGTTTTAGTCGTCATCAGTTTTTTTGCTTTAAACGAGGTGCTGTACTTATGAATTTTTATCGTTTGCAGATAGCACCGCCTGCCACGCCGCTGCAAGATTTCACCTACCATTGGAAACAGCTTATGAACTTTTATGTGAACCACCTGACAGATTGCAAGGTGCCCATACAGTCCACGGGCATACCACGACATTTAGACAGATTACTGGAAATATTGCTGGAAGAGGAGAAGGACGAAAACGAACCAGGACCATGTCTCGAATACCTGTTGCAACACAAGCTATTGGACCTGCTGGCTACGCTCGCCAGCGCGGAAACTCCACCCGGTATGAGAACCATTTGCCTGTCTTTTTTAAGAAAATTGCTGGGTAGATCTAAGTACCCACTGCTGCATCACACGTCGATTTATGGACCAGTGCAACGATTGATCGCTCTGTGCAATGGAAACCCACCATCGCCTATGGAAGCTGAGGAGGTCCAGTTCCTTCTCACGCTTTGCTTTCTAGTTTGCAAGTACCCTCACGTGACCAACATAATAAACGATGCACCGACTGTTCAGAGGCATAACGCCTCTACCAGAAGGAATTCCGAAAGGATGGAAGTGGAAAAAGTTACCTACGTCCCAAACAGAAGAAAAGATAACTTTAATCCCTTATTCGAACCATTGGACACTCAGGCGGTTACGTTGATAAATCCCAATTTGTTTAGCTCGGAAAATGGTAGGAGACGGTCTGTGGAGACTAACAGACCGCCCAGTAAGAATGGAACGAGGGGATCATCTAGTCAATCGAACGATTCGATATCTTCCAGGGAAGTGGAGAATGCCTCGCAATCTTCTAGTCCGGTAATCGAGAAACCGATTTGCGATGAGAATTCGGGTGTCACGGTACAATCTTCTGACTCTCAGGACTGCGACATCTCTCAAAAAAGCGAAAACGTCGTTCTAATGAACGAGATAGATACACATTTGCAGAATCTCCAGGATTTACGATTGGACGTTGAGTACGGGGCTGCTTTCGAGGAGTCTAATTGCGCAGAAGGGGATCAGAATCTTTTGAGACCGGAAACGCCACAGAAATCAAAATGCCTTCTATTAGATGCCTTGTTGAGTTACATAAATAGCGCGGTAAGGCACGAATTTTAAGTAATGAAAGTAAACTATCATAATAGCTCCTTATGTTGTGTTATCCATACTTTGCGGACTATTCTGCAATATCAATATTAATAAAAGCTATGGGCTAAATATTCCAAATCCTAATATACAAAGAACAGTCAATCAGACAACAAATTCTTAAACGAAAATGTTTCCTCTTTCAGGATAATACCGTGAGGATAAGAGCCTGCGAAGGAATAATGGTCCTTGCATCCTTGGAGGATCCATCGTTCGCACAAATGGTAGCAAACAGTGACTTAGTAACCCTGATACCAAATAGATTAGAGAACCTGTTCAACGCCATCCCAGCGCATGTCGATCCAGCAGAGATCGACGGCGTGGATGTTACTTGGGGTTTAGATTCGCCAATGTGGACGAAGGAGAAAAAATTTTCTGGCTGCAGACAGGTCGCTGCGTTTTTCATGTGGTTTGATTACTGCAATCAACTGATAAGGGAAGCGCATCCAGACGTGGCAAACGCGTTGGCGAAGAACATTAAAGTGAATTTCTTAGAGAAAATTGTGACACCAGCCCTAGCTGAACATCATGTTGTTCTTATCACGGCATTGATTACGAAATGTTTGAAGGAATTAACATCTAGCGCCTTATGTACAGGTTTGTATATAATTTATGTTAAAATATGGAGAATTAACAATTTTGTTTTGCTTGGAATTTTTGGAACATTGATAGAGTTCGTTTACTTTCTCCTTTAAATAGTAGGAGACGAAGAAAGATTGCTCTTTGACCCTTGACAATATTTCAAAATTAATTCAAACGATATTAATAATTTCTTTTTTCAGAAATAAGTTACTGGCTCGTGGGTCACGACAGAGGCCCAGAGATACCAAACGTATGGACGTCACCTGTACTACACAGGCTGATAGACAACTGCTTCACGGACAGTGACGATTTAACGCTGGAAACATTAAAGCTGTTCGAGGAGATGATAGAGAAACGAAATGAACATATACTGCACTGTCTCGTATTAGTATATTTGTCAACACGAGGCTATTACGACAACACCGCGGCGGATAGTGCAATTGCATCCTGGAGCGACGAGGAAGACGAAAGAGAAAGAGAAAAGAAGAAGGGTTCGCTAGACCTCTCCTACGAGCAAAGTCATAGTCGAACATTAGCACCTAGTAATATTCATAGAATTGTAAATTGGTAAGAATCTTACAGAAACTCTCACCACCGTACATAGAAAAAAAAAAAAAAAAAAAGAAAAAAGAAAAACTTTCATCAAAAGAACGTTTTATGACGGAGACATTCCTTGTCACTCGAATAAATAGAATATTAAAAAAAAAGTAATAATTCAATAATGTACACGCTTATAGTACTTGACAAGCGTGACACAAAGTGAGAAAGCTTAATCAACAGAAAGTCTCAATCAATCATTTCGATACGTCACCAACTGAATATGTTTTCTCAGCGTATGTACTAAAGAACTTCGAACACTTTCCCTCGCGCAACAATACTTACATATGCAAATGAAATAATGTAAAGGTATAGAATTTTTAGCTTCGTATCAACCTCCGTTTCAGTTTCCTGTCCCTGATTCCTCGTTATCTACAAACAGACACGGACGTGAACAATTACGAACGGTATATGGCTGACTTGGAAAGGCAGTATTCTACTGTGCTGACAGACTGCTCGCTAATGGCCTGGCCGCTAGAGGCAGTAACCGTGGATGATTCTGCGAGTTCCGATTCCAGGCCGGAAGCAGACCATTGTTCCATAAGATTTTACATGGGGCCGTTTATGACGATGCTTTTTGAGAAAGTGGCGAATATTCCAAGGCAAAAGTACGAGGTCAACCTGCAACTGACGGTGGTGATCTCGAGGCTTGCGCTTTTACCTCATCCGTACCTGCATGAATTTTTACTGAATCCGTTGCTACCAGTAGCACCCGGCACGAAGAACTTGTTCACCTGCTTGCAAAAAGTTGTCAAACAGCTGGTGAACGAGGTACCAAAGACGCCGGATCACAAGCAAATGCTGACAGAGACGCGAGAACGATTACTCGAAGATTGTTCACACGAAGGGTAAATACGAATAAGAATGATTAATTATATCGTTCGTTGTTTGATAATTTCGGAAGATTAAATGTTTCGTGATTTTTAGAGAGAAGGAGAATATCTTGTTCGAAAGCGTGATCGTGACAGAAGAATTTTGCAAGGAACTGGCTGCGATAGCATACGTAAAATATCATCATTCTATGTGATAATTGTTATCAAAGAGACCGATGTAAATTATAGAATTTAATTACAGTACTATGGATGAGTAAATTTACTTAATGATCGGTCGTCAGTCTAGATACGCTTAAATAGAAAATTGTTTTTTGTGATGAATTTGTAAAATATACGTACATACCTTATGTTAAGTATAGCTAGTATTATATTAATGTTAATGTTTACAATCACTTATTTGCACAATTCGACTTGTGACTCTAATAAAGAAACTACTGAAAAGTCACGTTCGTTTTAATTATTTTGCTTCAAAAATTGTTACAAATTTTTCTAATTTAGTTGTCTATAATATTTGTAGTTTCAACAACCTCTAATTACCACATATCAATTATAAAACATATTTAGATTTGAGTATATCATAGGACTATGTAGTTTGCAAATAATTTTAATAATTGAAATAAAAAACGTAAGTTAAGAATGTTACATGTCTTATAAGTGAAACTAATTTCAGAATCATATGCTTCATATTGGAGTAAGTTGTTAAAGTTACTTCATATTGGAGTAACTGACACATGGAGTCACAAATGGAAAACACATCATCCATTTGCATACAGTTGCTTATAAATAATATAACGTCATATTTAAGTGGTAATAATTGCAAAAATACCTCAGTTGTCAAGGTAAATAATGAAAAGTTAGCAATAAATGGTGAATTATATTTTATACCTAGCCTTAAAGTATGGAAAAACTTGTTGAAAGACACAGATAAATGTGAAGAAAAGTGTACAACAATTTTGCAACATTTTCTATATGTTAGAGGTGGTGGAACAAATAACAATACTGATGCAGACATTGCAAATCAGGTAAAATATAATAAAAAATATCATCATAAAGGAAAGAAACATAACCTAGCTATAAAACTAAAAGATATCTTTGCAGGTTTTACAGTTGTTAGTATCATCGAGTAGTAATTGGTCTATAAAATTACACAAGTATCTTTTAGAGAGAGAAAGAGTTTGTTTATTTTTACAACGTACCCCTCTTATAGAGAGTTCGATCAAATCAGTTATAGCATTTAAGAATGACTTTGGAAAAACCTTTTCAGTTAACAAGATCTTTAGTTTCATATCGCTCCAAGATAACGAATCAGAACTCACAACTAGAAGATTACACTTAATACAGCGTGTCACTGAAAAGATTTTGACTCTACACGGGTCTAAACTATCAGATGAGCACTCTGATTACAGATTTGTATTTACCACTAGGTCACAAGGAAATGTCAGAGAAAATTATGAGAGGTATATATGTGGTGTGGTAAAAAATACAGAAACAAACTGTAAAGAGACAAAACTAACGTATAAAGAATATGTTAACAATAAAATTATAGAATTAAAAGCATTAAATGAACATAAATATTTTGAAGCACGAGAATTCAATGTAGAAACAGAAAAATGTTTCCTTGAAAATCTTGCAAAAGCAACAGTTACATTTGAATTATTATCTGTAAAACCAAGCCGTCCTGTTTTTATTGGATGCAATGTTGCTACCGATAAAAGTACCACAAACACAAAAGGTTCTTCCATCTCTGAATTTTGCATGAATTTCTTAGAATTTTTAAAGGAACAATTTCTACCATTATTAGTTTTTAGGTGGATGTTTTATATTATATAATACAGCAAGAATAACAGCTATCATTGAAAAGTATAATGATAAAAGTTTAAGAGGAGAATATCCTAATTTACCATGTGTCAATGATACAGATTTTTCTTTACTAAATCAAGAGGTATTTTATTCAAAAGATACTGAATTATCAACGTCTCCAATTTATGAAAGAGAACAAACAATGACTCAGAAACTTTATAATTTCTAGGAAGAATGGGAACTTATATATAATTTTGTTATTGGATATCAACAAATGATAAAGGATTGTTTACGATATGATCCTGTCTTCCAAACAAATACACAATTTATTTGTATATTTTTGTCTAAACTGTGCCAAAAATTTAGCATCTACTATCATAGAATTAGAATTTTAACTGTAAGTTTTATTACTGACTAATGTTAATGATTGAATTATAGACCTTATTGCATGATTAATAATTTATTATTTATATATTATTGTATCGTTATAGGAAGCATATGACCATTTGATTCCAACAATGACTGCCAGATTATATATGCTACATGCATTGCAAATTGTGCTTCAAAATGCACTTGCTTTACTAGATATCGCTCCTGTATCTCGCATGTAATTTAATCATACAAATTTTTTTAATCAAAATGATATATCTCAATATAATAGAAATCAATTTACAAAATTGTACAAATTATAAGGAATTATGTATTTTTCAAAAGAAAAATAAAAAGTGAATTATCAACTAAACAAAGTAATATTTTAAATTGTGCTTCACAAGTTTCTAAGTTTTTCAACTTAAATATATTTTAATTTTTGCCTTATAATAAAAGTATGGAAAAATAATGTAATTTTGAAAAATTATTATTTTCATAAGAAATCTTTATAAATCTATCGTTACTTTTAAATTAGTTGAAAATGTATTGGGTTAAGCAGTTATTTACTAAAAAATGCAATAAATCTATATTTATAATTTGTAGTTCCAATAATATTTTCTAATAATTGTTGAATTAATTAGATTTGTCATGTCGTAATTGTATTGATTTTAAATATATCACAATGAAACATACTTACATACGAGTATAATTCTTTGTCACAGCACAACAAATGAAAATAACAATTGCACTCGTAAATAACGATGCGTGAAACGACAGAAATCGTTATAATGTATATAACTGTACATCTACGTGTGCATTCTTCCAAATGTCATTCCTCATTTTTTAAATTAAATACGATCTATATAGAAATTATTGATTTTGTGTAACTTACCAATTGATCATCACTTTTTTCGAAGAAATTCTTCTAACCTTTGACGATAATCACAGAAATCGGTAAATTACTGTATTTTATCTTTCCGTCACACATATTTATCGCTATTATAAAGTACAAAATGATCGAATTTTGTTGAATCGAACTATAAATTTATATATATTCAAATACTACACCGAACGCTATGGATCTCGCGAGACTCAGATCTTCAGAAGTACCAATTTGAAAAAGTATGAGTGACGCTAAATGGGATACAAAATATGGCGCGATTATATGAATTTTCAAATACACTTATCTTAAATTTCATAATGTAAGGAAGTACCAAGCGAAATTTTAGAGTTGTTATATTTAAATTATATAACAAAGAATAAAAATTGTTTCTTACAGGAGGATTGAATAGATTATAACGAAACAAATAAGTGGGATTTGAATTATTTAAAAATACATCGTGTGTTATAATAAGTTAATTCTCGATGTAATCGGTACCAGTGTGATCGATCAACGCGTTACTTTCTAATATATTATTTCTCAGTTTTAGTACATTCTAGATGAAAAAGGGGAGTGTCTTCCCTACTAGAGGAATATCGTACATGAAAAGTACACGCACGATAGCGTGCAAGAGAGCGAGGCAAGGAACACAGCCAGCTGTTTGTTTTGTTTTCGGGCATGAGATTCACGTGACACGACCGGTGCTGGTGGCGGCTCGTACGGCAGGGTCGTATTGTCAACGTTGATTGGCCGAGGCAGTGCACTGGCGCACCGCTCGGCCAATCAGCGACACCGTAAGAAACGACGCCTGGTGCTTCTACGGTGCAGAGACGTTTGACATCGATAAATGCGTGAGAGTGCTCGCGAAGTGCGGAGGTATCAGGCTGTCGCTCGCTCGTCGTCGGCTTGTCGTAGTCGTCGTCGTCGTCGGGGGCTCGTGGGCTCGTCGTCGTCGGTCAGTTTCGAGCCTCCTTTTCTTTGTCCTGACTAGCCCCCCCACTCTGTACCCGCGAAAACCTGTGCAGTAGAAGTAGTGTTAGGCAGTGCCGATCCACACAGTGACCGTCTTTCTTTACGTCGCCGCTCAGCTGCACCTACTTTCGTGTGTGAGCGAACGTATCCGGCGTGCCAAATGTCACTAGGTGGACGATAGGGTCGAAATACATTCGATCCTCAACGTCATACGTACGCACGCGTTTTTGCTGTATGTATACAGGTCGGAGAGGTAGCACATTTGCGTTAGAAATGATCATTGTCAGAAACGAGCCGTTAATGTATCGTCCGATACGCAA